GCCCGTCCTCCTCAACTCTGAGTGCTTCAGTACAGGCTTAGCTGGGCTTCTTCCACGTTGCCTTCCATCCTTTGTTATTTGTGAATGGGTATACAGATTGCTTTGGTCTCCTTTTCTCCAATTTTTTCTTGACCAGTACTATTCATGGTGGGATCAGGACCCACCTCCTCAGGAAATACGCCCTGATTAGCCCCTCCCAGCTTGACCTGCTTCTTCATGTATGTTCTCCATTACATTATCACAGACTTGATTTGTCCACTGGTTGAATATGCCAGGTACAGCATTCATTCACTTAATCTCCATAACATGTATTTAAAATTTTATTATTGTAGTTTTTATTTATTTTATTATAAATATTTATAAATTTATATTATAAATTTTATTATTGTAGTTTTTATTTATTTGGAAGGCTGAGGGAGAAAGAGATCTCCCATCTGCTGGTTCACTCCCCAAATGCATGTGACTACAGGGGCTGGGCCAGGCCAAAGCCAAGAGCCTAGGACTCCATCTGTATCTCCCATTTGGGTGGCAGGTGCCTAATTGTGCCATAACTGTTGCTTCCCACTGTGCACATTAGCAAGAAGATGGGAGTGAAAGCAGAGCTGAGACTTGAGTCTAAGCCCTCTGATGTGGGATGTGGGTGTCTCAACAGCTGTGCCAAATGCCAGCTCCTAAAATATCTTTTATCTATTGGGCATGTAGATGCTTCAAGAACAGACCATGCTCCAGTCAGTAACTACAGATTTGTTCTCATGAAGTTTACAGGAGAGATAGAGATTAACTAAATAATTTCAAAAACATGTAAATACAAGTTGGCATAAGTGCTTTGAAAGAAAGAAATATGGTGTCACGGAAGTGTATAACCGAGGCATCTAACCCAGATTAGGGTACCAGGGGAGACTGCATCGGGGAAGCAGGGAGGGAGCAGACTCTAGGAAGAACAGCAGACTCCTTGGCAGGGGGTAGTGCAGTTCTTTTGGGGGAAGAAATGATGGTCTGGATGGACCAGAGAGGGCCACCGGGAAGAGAACATGTAGGTTCTAGAGTCTCTGTGAATGCTGTGACTTTACCTGTGGGCTTGGGAGGAGGTGGGAGAGTTCTGAGTAGACTCGTGTGCTGTGAGCAGATCTAGGCAGGCATCGCGAGTCCCCCTCACAAGTGAGCAAGCAGAGGCTCCCAGGATGCATCGGGGCTTCACAGCTAGTGATTGCTTGGTCTGGTCAAGTGATACTCACACCCAAGTACTAAGTACTCAGTGAATCTGAGCTCATATTCTCTTTCTCTTAATTCTGCAAAGGAGGCAATAGAACCAATCTGAGCTAAGATGATTAAGTTCTGGCGTGTACCAGACATTGGTATTTAATCAGATCCTTTCTACAAGGGCAGGCCTTTTTATCCCTATTTTCAAGATAAGGAAACGGAAACTGAGAAAGTTAGGTAATAAGCTCTATTGTTGGAATGTGAGGAGCTGGGAACAGGGGCGGTGTTGTGGCCCAGTGGGCTAGGCTGCTACCTGCAGTGCTGGCATCCCATATGGGCACTTGTTTGAGTCCTGGCTGCTCCACTTCCCATCCAGCTCCCTAATACACCGGGGAAAGCATCAGAAGATGGCCCAGGTGCTTGGGCCCCTGCCACCACATAGGAGAGCCAAGGAAAAAAATTCCTGGCTCCTGGCTTCAGCTGGCACAGCTCTGAACATTGCAGCTATTTAGGGAGTGAACCAGCTATGGAAGATACCCCCCCACCCCGTGTCTCTGTAACTCTGCCTTTCAAAAAATAAAATAATCTGGCCAGCGCCGCAGCTCAATAGGTTAATCCTCCACTTGCGGCACCGGCACACCGGGTTCTAGTCCTGGTCGGGGCTCCGGATTCTGTCCTGGTCGCTCCTCTTCCTGTCCAGCTCTCTGCTGTGGCCCGGGAGTGCAGTGGAGGATGGCCCAAGTGCTTGGGCCCTGCACCCCATGGGAGACCAGGAGAAGCAACTGGCTCCTAGCTTCGGATCAGCACAGTGCACTGGCCGCAGTGGCCATTTGGGGGTGAACCAACGGCAAAAGGAAGACCTTTGTCTCTGTCTCTTTCTCACTCTGCCTGTCAAAAAAAATAAATAAGTAAAAATAAAAAATAATAAAATAATCTTAAAAAAATAAGAAAGTAGAGGATCTGGGGTGTAAATCTGTCTTGAGGAATTCCAACATTTAGATGGAACTCAGAACACTCTGCCACCACCTTAGTGTTCTCTCTGCCCATAGCAGAACCGAAAGGGCGAGCAGGACTAGAGCACTGGTAGGGTCTTCTACACCAGTCCAGGTGGGAGATTGGTACAGTAGATTTTAGGCTAAGAGAACACATAGGAATAGAACATCAAATACCATGGCAGGCTTGAGGCCTGGGCAGTGGTAACATTCAGTCCAAGGAGTGGAGAGACGGTAGACAGGTTGTTGTGCTTACTTACCATCAGGTAAGTAAAGTCAAGACCACTGGCCTTTGGCAGAATAAGCCGCCCGTTTTACAGAGCAGACGATCATGCATGCTTGCTGAAGCCGTGATGCCCCGTTCTGATTTATGACTGCTGGCCTCTGCGCCCTGGAGCTCACACTCCTAACACTCCTGTGTTCTCAGCAACTGTGTTCTCTTTCCTGCACCAGTACCCAGGGCGCTCCCCTGGATGAGGATGTGGGTAGATAAGAATGGTATTTTTCTTTCTTTTTTTTTTTTTTTGACAGGCAGAGTGGACAGTGAGAGAGAGAGACAGAGAGAAAGGTCTTCCTTAGCCGTTGGTTCACCCTCCAATGGCCGCCGTGGCAGGTGCACTGCAGCTGGTGCACCGCGCTGATCCGATGGCAGGAGCCAGGTGCTTCTCCTGGTCTCCCATGGGGTGCAGGGCCCAAGCACTTGGGCCATCCTCCACTGCACTCCCTGGCCACAGCAGAGAGCTGGCCTGGAAGAGGGGCAACCGGGACAGAATCCGGCGCCCCGACCGGGACTAGAACCCGGTGTGCTGGCGCCACAAGGCGGAGGATTAGCCTAGTGAGCCGTGGCGCCAGCCAAGAATGGTATTTTATTAAAAGGATTCTTTTTTGGCCTTATATTCGAGGAGAAGGTAATTCACAAAGCCCCACTTCATTCAAGGAATTATACCAAATCCCTAAAGCATTGCCTTACACATTCTGAATCAAGTGCCTGGCTTTGAAAATGGGAACCTACAATCTCTTGGCAAAAAAATGTAAGTGTGATTTATCACTCCAGTCTCACAGGCTATGTGATGCAGACATTTAACCCCTGGGAATGAATAGTCTTGTTTGTCTCAAAGCAGACTGCAAACGTTTGGTTCGTGACCAGACACCTCGACGTTTGATGGCCTGCAATCAACTAAAATAAGCACACAAAGATATTATCAACACCAGGCCGCCAGAGTGGGTTCCTCAGGATCCCAGCAATATTCTCTGTGTCACTGGAATTGCTTTTTTAAGAATCTGATGCCTCCGGAGGCATCTTCTATTATAAACGTACAGGACCAGTACAATAAAAATTCTTAAATCTTATCTTTCAGACATCCAGATAACAATCTCCAGAAGACTCAGTAAGATATAGTCATGGCAAAGTAAATACGCAGCATCCTTTTCTTCAACATCAGAGGGTAACTGTAGCTCATCAGGCCAAGGCGAGGGGCCACGCCAGCAGTGACGCCGGGGCCGGCTCGGCTCTGACTCACAGGACCTGTCATACGTCTGAAAGAAACAGGGTCCACTTGATCAATGCCACTTCCTCCTCCAGCACCCAGGATGCCAGAACTGACTGGGTGATGCTGATGGCTCCAGCCAGTGAGTCCAGCCTGGCCATCGTACTCAGTGACGAGGAGAACTCCCACCTCGTTTTGGAGTCCTGGGTAGAGTGAGGCCTTTTCCTTGAACGAGGCCGTGGGCGTGCATCAGCCATGTGATAGCATCGTGTGCTAGGAACTGCAACAGCAGTGAGGACTGTTACTGAGAGTCTGTGATGATGAGCCGTGTGGTGTGTGCATTGTAGGCAGTCTTCATTTCTGTCTCACAAACCCCTCTATTCCGTAAGGAAAGGAGGCTGTTATTCTTTGATAAATGAGGAAATAAGAGCAACTGATGTATGTGAATGGTCACACAGCAAGTAGGATATGGACTCCAGACTGTAGCTAAACCCCACCCAGACTGTGATCAAGAGAAGGGCTCAGGGGGCGTTGAGATTCGCTTGGGACATCTCCATTCCATGTTGTACCGGGAGTTGAGCGCTTCCTCTGCTCCCAAAACCAACTTCCTGCCATTGTGGGAGACAACAGGTGATGGCTCAAGTATTTGGGCCCCTGAGACCCATGTGAAAGACTTGGATGGAGTTCCCAGCTCCTGGCTTTGGCTCTGCGTACCCTTGGCCATTCTTTTCAGGGAATGAATCAGTGGATGGAAAATCTCTCTGTCCATCTATCTCTCTGTCTCTCTTGCCATTCAAATAAATAAATAGAAATAAAAAAATAAAAGCCAGAAAGGTTTAAGTTATTGCAGGGCCACACAACTCACCTTGCCCTCCCAGTGTTTGACTGACTACCGTGAGGAGGATAGTTCCCAGTTGGCCCCCATGCTTTTAGTCTGATTCCCCCATCAACATTTATTTGGGAATTCAGTAGATTTTTGACTCCCTGTTGGATCCCACAGGATGCCAAGTGCACATTTGCACTTCTGTTGACCATGAACTGAAGCTGTGCTCCCAAGGTGTCGTTCCTCCAGCCAGCAGCCTCAGCACCGCCTGCAGACTGGTTAGAAATGCAGTCTCCAGCCCCACCCCACGCCTGCCCAGTCAGCGGATCTGGGGACAGGGCCCAGCAGTCTGTGGTTAACCAGCCCTGCAGGCTGGTTTGAGAGTCACTGCAGCAAAACACTGGGAAGGGCGCACAACGGACTTTGTTTTTTCACATGGAAAACACAGACTTTAAAATGTTCTGTCATTCTTTTTTTTCCTCTAATACATGTTTTTACCTCATTTCCAAATCTTCATTCTCCTGTGGTACAAACTTGTACAAGGCAACATAGGTGTTCATTTGTAATGGGTCTTTGGAAAGCTGTCCCTGAAAGAGAAAATAAAAGGAAATTGAAACAAGGAAGGGATGGAGAGGGGACAGAAGAAAACAGAAAATGGAGGTGTTACTGCCGTGTGATTTCAGTTCTGGGTCTTAGACGTTAAAATACTTGATTGTCATCAAACCTTTGAACCGCAGGTCTATGTTTAATTTAGTAACTGAATTTTATTTCATGACAAACCGTTTGAAAGTAATTATTTGAAATTCTTTGTGAGAAATGCTATAATTTTCTTCAAACACATTTTTTTTTGTCATGGAAAACAGTACACGTTTGGGATTGGAAAGATTCTAGAAAGAGGGACATGGGAACAGTGGCAAACACTTCTACTTCCTGAGACTGACTTTTTATTAATTAGCCTTAAAGTTGGTGTCTAGCCCATCAAAGGAAACAGATACATTCATGTGGCAATTAGTTCACTTAGGTAGCCAGAAGAAACATGGATTTTGGCATCAGATGGATTTAGTTTATATCGTAGTACCACCCTCTACCGGCTATGAAGCTTTGAAATAATGACAATCAAAGCTACCATTATGGAGAGCTTACTCTGTGCTAGGCAAGGTGTTACATGCACACTTGAACTTCACAACTCTGTTAGGTGAAGCTCTGTCCTTGCCCCCAATATGCAGATTAGAAAAGAACTTTTCAAGTGTCATACAAATACCATGTGTTAATACTAATGAAATAAATGTTAATGTTATATAGACATTTATACTTTGTAATATATAAGCTAACATTATACAATATATTCAGTACTATATAATTGCATAATATGCTTAACTATATAATAATATAATATGCTATATACATATATAAATATAAATGTTGCATACAGGAATAGGTATTCTTTTTACTTATGATTTGCTTGGCTATTCAAAGCTGTAGTATCTTATACTGTTTTACTCTTTAAATTATGTATATGAAGATATAAAATAAATGTGCTATAAAATATAGTCACAAAATATAATTCTATAATAGACAAATAGTATATAAAGAGGCTTCAAAAAACTCATGAAGAATGCGTATTATGAAGAACATGCATGGATCTCAATTTTTTTTGCACAAGATAAATTAACTTTTAATTCCACTTTCTAGGAAATTTTTGAAGTGCCTTTATATATCATTTTGTATGCAGTGTGCAGGTACATGTGAGAAACAAAAAGGTGTACAATACTTTTCCTTTTTACCTTTTATGCACTGTGATTTTCTGTTTATTCTATGCTATCTGTGGCATGGTACACTGTGTCATCCTATCCTATAATCTACAAATGCTGGTCTGGGAAACACCAGGTGGACTTCATGACCCCCTTGGATGGTGGCCTGCAATTTTATACAAGGGCTCCTATGTTCTCTGTTGTCTGTGACATCCATAGATACCTGGTGGTTTATGTTCTTTGCTTGGTCTCTGAAATCGTCTGCGCCGTTTTCTGGGTATGAAAACACTGAAGGAGACAAGAGAAGGCAGGTGCATTAGGAATCCAGTCACCATGCTTTGAGAATGAACACTGTTCTCAGCTCACAGTTTCAGAGCTTATGGGTATGATCCCATAATCCCTCAGAGGCCCAGAGGCAATCTTTGGGGGAGCTTCGGTTTGTGGGTGACCAGGAAATCAAGGTTCTGTTCTGTGGACCTTGCCTGTCTCATTCCCCACGTGGCTGCGTGACTGGAGATAGATCAGGTGGAAGCTCTGAGCACAGAACCCCATCCGGGTCTCCCGCATGCATGCAGGAACCCAGCTACTTGGGCATCACCTGCTGCCTTCTCCAGAGCGTTAGCAGGAAGCTGGGCCAGCAGCAGAGCGATGGAACTGGAGCCCATGCTCCTGTACGCGGTGCCGGCATTGCAGGTGGCGGGTCAGCTGCAACCACACTGCCACCCTCTGTTTTAGCTTCTTCTTGAATATCGATCTGGCCATACAGTTGAAAATGTACACTGTGTTTGTGAACTATGTTGAAAAACTGACCCCAAATGTGTTTTCAGATAGATGGTTGTGAAAGAGGTAGGTCAAAAGAATTATTTTTGAGACCTTGTCCTTCCAGTTATTTCTTAGACTGACTTGAGGGAAGGTGAAAAAAGAAAGGTGTATCGTACAGCTCTTTTTTGACTGCCTTAAGCTCTTTTATTGAAAATGTCTTGGTGTTTAATTTTACAATAAGTATGTAAAGAATATACATACCTCTTTTTACAAAAAAACTTTTTTTTTGACAGGCAGAGTGGACAGTGAGAGAGACAGAGAGAAAGGTCTTCCTTTACCGTTGGTTCACCCTCCAATGGCCGCTGCTGCCAGCGTGCTGAGGCTGGCGCACCACGCTGATCTGAAGCCAGGAGCCAGGTGCTTCTCCTGGTCTCCCATGTGGGTGCAGGGCCCAAGCACCTGGGCCATCCTCCACTGCACTCCTGGGCCACAGCAGAGAGCTGGCCTGGAAGAGGGGCAACCGGGACAGAATCCGGTGCCCTGACCAGGACTAGAACCCGGTGTGCCGGCACCGTTAGGTGGAGGATTAGCCTACTGAGCCACGGTGCCGGCCTAAAAAAACTTTTTAAAAAATTATTTATTTGAAAGACAGAGTGTCAGAGAGAGAGAAAATATTTCTTTCTTTTGCTGGTTCACTCCTCAGATGCTCACAACAGCTGGAGCAGGGCCAATCCAAAGCCAGGGTTGAGAAACTACATTTGGGCCTCTGGTATGAGTGGCAGGAACCCAACCTGTGAGCTGCCGCTGCTGCCTCCCAGAGCGCACATTAGCCGGAAGCTGGAACTGGAAGCAGAACCTGGGCTCAGGCTCAGGCACTCTGGTACAGAACTCAGGTGTCCACGCGGTGTATTCACTGCTGCACCAAAGGCGTTCCCTGCCAGCATTTTTTCTAATGTCACAGAAGCAGAAGGGAATGTTTTGCCACATCCCAGGAGGAGTTTCTTCCTTTTCTTTTCCGTGTACTTTCTCTTTCTGCAGACCTGAGGTCCCCGTCCACTGCTGTTGTTATCTGAGTGTTTGTGTGTCTTTGTCTACCTGGTAATGCAGCAAGTTGCAAATCAAGTCCCTGGTGTACACACAGCTTGGCTGTTGTGCGTTACCTTTTAAGATACAGTGTTGGATTCAGCTGACTGATTCTGCTTCCGATTTCTGCGTATATTCCAGAGGGAGACGGGCCAGTGATTTTCCGTACTCACTCCCTCCTTGTTTGGTTTTGAAGTCAGGCAGGATGAGACCAGCCTCATAAACCACCTAAGAGAATGCTGCCGCCCTTCCTCCTTGTTGCTTTCTGTTTCTCTAAAGCAGCTTATGTAACCTGGAAACATTTCTACCCCTTAAATATCTGGTAGATTTTACTTCTAAAGTTGTTCAGTCCTGGTATTATGTGTGTGTGCGTGTGTGTGTGTGTGTGTCTGTGTGTGTGCCAAATATAAAATATTGGCTCAGTTTCTATAAGGATTAGAAAAAAAACTCCAGTTTTCCATCCCTATCTCTTCTTGAGTCAAGTTTTAGTCATTAATGCCTTTCTTGGTGTCTGCCCACTTAAAAAATATTTTGGAATTTATGGGCACAAATTTGGTTATGACATTCTTTTAGTTTTCTTTCAATTTCTGTTATATTCTCCCTTTTTCTTGTTATTCTGTTTGTTTCATCTATTTCATCTATTTGATATTAAAATTGTTAGATTATAAATTTTATTTCCTGAAAATAAATCACTGAGGATTTATTGATCTATCTTTATAATCCCATTATTTCTGTTCTTATCTTTAATTCTCACCCCACTTCTGCTTTATTTGTGTTTATTCTCATTCATTTTCTGGCTTCTTAAGTATGGTGCTCAGATGATAACTTCTCAGATTTTCTTATTTTTTATTTTATAATTTTATTCATGGTTAAAAGATTTATTTTTTTGAAAGAGGTAGAGAGAGAAAGACACACAGATAGAGAGATTTTCCATCCACTGGTTCACCACCCAGATGACTGCAAACAGCCAGAGCTGGGCCAGGCCACAGCAAGGAGCCAGGGACTTCATCCTGTCTCCCACATAGGTGGCAGGGACCCATATACTTGAGCTATCTTCTGCTGCTTTTCCCAGGCCATTAACAGGGAGCTGGATCAGAAGTGGAGCTACTGGGACACATACTGGCACCCATGTGGGATGTTGGTGTTGCAAGTGCTGACTTTTCCTGATGGTCCACAATTTGGCCTCAGATTTTCTTGTTTTAATATAATAATTTTGAAGCTAAATACTCCAGCTTTAGTATTATCCCACAAGGTTTTTTTTAATGGAATTAAGTTTATTTGGTTCAACTATTTTTGACAACTATGCATCTTTTTTTATAATTTACCATTCCCACAAGCTTTTTTTTCCCCGAAGAAACCTTTTATTTAAGGAATACAAACTCCATGCATTTCATAAATACAACTTCAGGAACAGTGATTCTTCCTACTGTACTTGCCCTCCCATCCACACTCCTACCCCTCTTCCTCCTCCCTCTCCTATTCCCACTCTTATTTTTTACTAAGATCTATTTTCAGTTAGCTTTATACAGAGAAGATTAACTCTATACTAAGTAAAGAGTTCAACAAATTTTATGAAAAACAAAAACAAAATGTTCCTCAACAGTTGAGACAAGGGCTGTTCAAAGTCATGGCATCTTGAAGTTGATTTAACTTCTCCTTTTTTTTAAGCATTCTTTCTTTCTTTTTTTTTTTTTTTTGAGTAACTTAATTAACTTTAAAGAAGAACCCAAGAATGATACATCTTTTGCGAGCACTTAGACATAACGATAACTTATGAGACATAAGAATATCTTCCACTTAATACATTAAAACAAAGTAAATCTTTGAGAACAAGTTTTACTGTTAACTCTCATAATACAACTCTTTGAGGATAGAGGTCCTGCATGAGAAGTTAGTGCACAGTGACTCCTATTTTTAATTTAACAATTAACACTATAATGTATGATGTCAGTGATCACCTGAGGCTCTTGACATGAGCTGCCAAGACTATGGGAGCCTTTTGAATCCACAAAAACCTTTAGTATTTAAACAAGGCCATAAGCAAAGCGGAGTGCTCTCCTCCCTTCAGAGAAAAGTACCTCCTTCTTTGATGACCACTTCTTTCCACTGGGATCTCAATTACAGAGGTCCTTCATGTAGGATACTTTTTGCCATAGTATCTTGGCTTTCCATGCCTGAAATGCTCTCATGGACTTTTCAGCCAGGCTAGATTGCCTTAAGGGCTGATTCTGAGGTCAGAGTGCTACTTAAAGCAATTGTCATTCTGTGAGTCTGCTGTGTGGACTGCTTCCCATGTTGGAACATTCACTCCTTTTTATTTCTGTCTATTATTACCAAACACTTAATAGTATTTACGTGATCACTTTAACACTTAATTCTATCTATATGATCACTTTAACACTTAATCTTATCCATATGATCACTTTAACACTTAAAATATGTAGTGTTTTCATCATTGCTTGGTTTTAAATATATTTCAATTTCCCTCTGAATTTCCTTTGACACTTGAACTTTTTCAAAGTGCATGTCAATCAACTAAATTATTAGTTTTCCTTCTTATCTTCAGACTGCTTATTTCTATTTCATTTGTACTGTGGCCAGAGAGATGTGTTCTGTTTGATACTCTTTGGAATTTATGGAGCTTGCTTCATAGCTGAATAGGTGATGAATGTCTCTAATTGTTTCTGTGTTCTCAGAAGGAATGGGAGCCCTCCAGTTGCCAGATGGAGCCTTCTTTGAGAGTGAACTGGATTGGGATCATCAAATGTGTCATCAGATCCCCAGTATCTGTGCTGAATCTGTTTATCTATCTGATTGGCCAGTGATTGAGAAACGTGAAATCTCTCATTGTGAAGGAGAAAGCCAAGTTTCCTGATACTTCAGTTTCTTCTTGAGTTTTAGCATGTTGGGCTATGTGTAATCAGGTGAAGCTTTAGAAACTTCTTCACATGAAATGGAGGTGACTACATTGCTGTAGGAATGATTTGTTTGGTCCTTAAGGTCCATTTTTTTCACTCATTAGTACAGCTAGTTTTTTTTTTTTTTTTTTTTTTTTTTGCTTATGATTTGCCTGTGATGACTTTCACCTCTTTGCTTCTATATCTGAAAAATTCCTTATTTTACCTGTGTCTTTGTTTCTTCCTGTGGTAACTTCTTAAAAAAAAAAAAACTTTTATTTTCGACTTTCTTTAGCTGACTTCTTAGGTAGTTTTTAACAATAGGCTTCTCATTTCAAAAGTCTCATCTGAAAAACTTTGTCTTTTATCGAGTCTGTTCAGTTGGTTTGCAGTGATTCTCACTGCTGATACACTGAGTCCCTTCCCCACATTTTGTACTTTCCTATTTGTCCCACATTTCCTGTGCTTCTGCTTCTGATCCCCCACCTTCCCTCCCTGCCCACTGTCTTTGGAGTTGTGTGCCTTTTTCTTCTTCTCATCACTCAA